GCCAGTCAGAAGAGTCTGCTGACTACTACTGCTGCTGTTTCTGCTAATGATCATGCTAAGCCTCCGGCTCCCAAGTAATTTAAGTTCATATTTATTATATTTTATCAATATTTATTTTGTTCTTGTGTTTTAATTACGTATCTTTTCTTTTTCTTTTTTTTAATGTTTTGGTCAGTTAATTAGGTAGAACACAGTTTTATCTTGAGAATGACTTTTTCCATTATGTTTTTGTTCGTACTTAATGATAAGATTGACAATGCCTAATTTTCTATCACAATAAAGTGTTTTTTCCAAGTAGTAGAAGTTCTAGTATTAACCTGGTACAGCTAGAAATTATATATGTCATTGGATCAAAAGAAAATTTAACGTACGTACTCTCAATCGGTATAATTAAATAAATACGTAGTTGTAGCTCGTAAGAAGCCTATTCTTTTGTCTATGGGAAGTTTTACAACTGAGGTTGGGGGGGGATTTAAGATTATATATGTACTGATTGAATTATATGTTTGAAGAACACAAGTGATGAAGTAAAAATGGGGGAAAAGGGAAAAAATTAAAAGAAAAAGGAAATGGCTAAAAGAATCCAAATAAGTGGTCCCCTATATATGAAGATACACCCATTCTCTATTATCTGAAACAAAATTAATATATATACAATCTAGAATATACTAATCCATAAAAAAACTGCCATAAAATCTAATATTGATTTCAAGCACATGAGATGATACAAAGCATATAAGAAACCTAACTAGCATTATCTTAATAAAAAAGTTCTCAACGAAAATCATCACATATATGCTGAGATCTAGCATATAATCTAACACATAGTAAATTAAACTTTGTGTGGGGTTCAACTAAATCAAAAAACAAAAACAATGCTATATATTTTTAGAAATTAAGCAATACTGAAAATGGATTTTTTTTTTTTTTTGGGCTAATGTTAGGGCACAAGTGGTGGGATGGCCACCCGTTCGATCATTCCGCAAGAACATCATGACCGTCCAATCTGAGAAAGGGAAAAAAGAGGAGTCCACTAATGCAGCAGTGGCTTTCGTCAAGGTAAGCATGGACGGTGCTCCTTATCTCCGGAAGGTTGATCTCAAGATGTATCGCAGCTATGAAGAGCTCTACATGGCACTTGAGAAAATGTTCAGCTCCTTCACCATTGGTACGTAAAGTAAAATTTGGTCTCATCATCCAATCTAGCCTGCTGATGTTGATTTAGGTTAATATATATATTGCACATAGCCAGTGGGATAGCCCCTTGTTATATGTTCTAAACGTTTTCTCCAAGTGGAGTTATCTTCTTGTTATTAATTTGTGTTAGAACGCTAAAACTTATTCCCCTCGCCGCTCACCATGACTTCAAAGTTTTGGTGCCCGGGCAACCCTGATTCAAATTTTACTTAGAACGTATTTCTAAAGCATATTTAAAACCGTTTCGTGGGTCCAAATTTTAGCCTATGAAAATGATGCTTAATTAACATGCTCACACACGGTGCCGTCAATGAGTTACAGAGAGATACCTTGATATTTCTGTGTTGCCTGCTATCCCCTACTCTCTTTTAGGTTTTGAACATACACCCCTCCTATATACTACAGTGCAGGTTATTCAGAGATAACTATGTGTATACGCTAATAAAATGTCTAGGGATGATAAAATGACCATGTTATGTAGCAAAGGGTGCGCGTGTATAATCAACCCTATTAATTTGGATAAGATATAATTGGTAGCCCCTACACCTGTTAATTTGTTGGCAGAATACAAAATAGAAGATATTGTATCCACTAGTTCAAACAGTAGCATGTACATGCAACATGTGATTGCCAGAGTTATGTGTTGAGTATGGGTAGCTGTTCCACTCTGGTTAATTTAGGGGGTCAGTTCTGTACGTACCCTACTGCAGTGTGTTGACATTATATCTTGCAACCATAATTAATTAATTTTGGGCGTCTTGCACATTTGAATGCATGGGATTATACTAGGCTATATATCCGGTTTTAGGCTTTAGAGGTGTACTTTATTGATTAATTGCTGTTACTTGATCTCATTGCCGGTCTAATTATTATAACTATAATATGTAGTACTTATAGATCTATACTTGAACTATATATACAGGGCTAGCTTCTTGAGGCACGTGGATTGTTCTACTATATTAGTGTAGGTCTTTGACTTTTATCACCATCATTTTCATTAGTATGTATACAAAAATAAAATGAGAGGTATGCTCAAAGATGAAAGAGAATAAGTATAAAACTTTGTTAGGGATTAATGGCAGAAAAGTTAGAAAGTCCATTTTATTATCTCAAACCATAAGTTTTTGCTTTAGCCTGTTTCCACAGATTGCATATTATGAATCGAAATATGGTCGGGTCTTAAATGTACGTCACATAAGATTTCAAACTGGATAGCTCTGATATCATCTTAGATTTTTTTAGTACTCCCGAACCTTTGAAATTATGGTAAAGCTTCTTACACAAGATCCTAGAAATGGTAAAAGGAAGAATTGATAAGAATAAGGGAACATTTAGGTAGTAGATAGATTGTGTACCCTGGCAAATCTCTTTTTTTAATGTAATATTCTCATAGCTTCAAAACGGTACAAACCTTACGTTTTATGCCTTCTTCAAATTAGGATCTACTTATTATTTTACAACTGAATAGATGCTTATTGCCGGTTGTGGCTATGATCCAACACAAGTTTTATAGACTTAATTAATATTAATTAATATTTTATGCTAAGCTATAATTGCCCTTATCTGTCCCTCTTTATTCCAAGTTTATTAATTAAGTTACTAATTACCCTCATTAATTGACTTTAAACAAACAGGAAACTGTGGGTCTCAAGGAATGAATGGGAGAGATTTCATGAATGAAAGCAAACTTATGGATCTCTTGAACGGTTCAGAGTATGTGCCCACTTATGAAGACAAGGATGGAGACTGGATGCTTGTTGGTGATGTGCCTTGGGAGTAAGTTTCCTTTATCTAATTAATTCCTTAACATTTTTTCATGCATGAAAAAAGCTTAAAACTTCGATTATAAGAAAAGTTAGATTTACTCAACTTTAAATTATGTTGAATTAAACAGAATGTTTGTTGAATCGTGCAAGCGTTTGAGGATTATGAAGGGCTCAGAGGCCATTGGACTTGGTCAGTATATTATCCTCATTTATTATTATCATTTAGTTAGCTAGTATGCAGTAATAGTCGTTTACGTCATATTTCTGTATTTTGGGGAGTAGCTGCTTTTATCTCCTAAACTACTTTATTACCACCTGCACCCTATTAACTCCAAACAACATTATTAACTTTGTGTTATATTGAGATGTCATGTGGGAATCAGGTAACAATACGCTCGTTTTAAGTAATAAAGAGTTTAGGGGACCCATATGAGACGCCCTTCACTTTCTAAAAAGGAATAAAAAAATTAAACCGAGACAAAGTATTCATCACGTAATTCTCATTTGACATCTCAAACTAACAAGGAAATAATCATTGCATACAGTTCATGGATGTAAGTGTTAATAATTTAAATAGTTTGGAATGTGTGGCCACTTACACCCAATATCAAGAGGGTGTCTAGCTTTAATTAATTAATCCTTAGTATAGGTTACATTATCATTAATCTATATATAGTGGCATAATTAACATTTTTCTCATTGATATCAGCTCCAAGGGCTATGGAGAAATGCAAGCGCCGTAGCTAAGGAAAGAACCAAAGCTTTGCTCATTCAGGATCCTGGTCAAGAAATGCCAACACTGGGCTCGAGTCCGATCTGAATTGAGCACAGCCTCATCATCTGGTATATTGTGTGTTTGCACTACGTGTTTGTTCTTACTTTATTTTCATATATATATATATGTGCATGGATATATGTTGTCAGTGCTGTAAAAGATATATGGGATTATTTTTTGTTTTATGGACAAGATGAACAAGACTCGTTTTATTCGGTGGTGTGTTTAATAACCTACCTAATCTATGTGCTATTGTATTTGGTTTGTGGCTGTAGTGAGTCTTTGTTGTATTAAAAATGTAATTGTTATCATGATCAGATTCTCTACAAGTGATATTCTAGCTTCTTGCTATTATTTTCTTGTTATCTCTCAATAGTTTTTTTTTTTTTTAATTCAAGTAGCAAGTAGAGCAGGAAACAAACCATGTGCATAGGGATGGGGCATCTCTGTAATTTATGTGTCCTTTTAATAAATTTGTGTGGTAGCCCATGTATAGTTATGTGAACGTATGTATTTACTTTTATGTATTTATCATTTGTCAACTCAGAACAATAGTGGTAGCTAGTTGCACTAGGGATGAGGAACCTCAATCAATTATTGTATTGTTTTATGCATCGAAGACTCAAGCAAGTAGATGAGGAACCTCAATCAATTAATGAGAGAAATTCTGTAGCTTGGTGATATCAAACCATATAATCTTATTTATGCATTTCCTGTATTTTGAAGGAAATTATTGGATACGGCTCATGCTTGTTTATACTGTTAGGATTGTGTCGTTAATTCTTTGTATAACTTCATGAGAATTAGATATGGTTAGAGATATGTCATGATTAGGAAATTGTGTTTCATCATGATTAGGAGTTTGAATCATATTCTAATTAGGAAGTTAGGTTAGAGATAGGGTTTTTGTTTCCCTATATATATTCTTCTATTGTTGGAGGAAAAACTAAGCAGATGAGAGAGAGCAAATATTCTTATAATCTAGGCTTCGCAGAGAGCGTAGCCTGATTCAAGAATATTGTACGAGAGACGATGGTTTCATAATCTTTATCCGTGCAAAAGATTACATCATCAGGAGAGAGTTTCGCAGTCTTTGTCCGTTCACAAGATTGTAAGGAAGGGGCTTTGGAGATAATATGAGAGTTGATTATGTATGCGAGGTTGAGAGATTGAGAGACGAGAGTTGAGTGGTTCCTCTTGTAATTCTCCCTGATACACAGTGGATTTCTCGTATTGTTGTCCGTGGACGTAGGTCGAAGTTGGTCGATCGAACCACGTAAATCTCGGTGTTCTTTCTTCTTGATTGTGTTTATTTTCTATCTTATTGATTGTGGGTTAGCTTTCGAGTTACGCAAATCGCAGTATGCGGGGAGACTGAAATTCCCCAACAGTGGTATCAGAACGACGATGATGGATTTGGGAGCGTGTTCGCAAGATAGGCGCCGTACAAAAGTAAAGATCGGCGGCGCTTACAAGAATCAAGATGAATAAAAAAAGTATTGTAGCAGGAAATACAGTAGCGGGCGACGACAAGAGCGGTAACATAGGTGGTTTTTGGTTTGTTTGTTCGCGTGCAAGAGTCGAAAAAGTAGCAGCACGTGAGGAGATTCACCCGTGTGGAAAGAAAAAGAAATTTAGCCGGTGGGGTCCACATGAAAGAATTATGAGAAGCAATTCACGTGATCTGATTGTCTAATTGTGGCCTGCTGATTTGATGTGGAGTTTTATTTGGTGTTTGGTGTTGTGGATGCACATCGGGTGGTCCAGATAGTTTTACCGAGAGATTGGTGAATCAGAGGTTGATTTCAGTGATTCAGGAGTTGATTCCTAAGTTTTAGAGTGCTCTTAACGCGATGTGAGAGTTTGATTTTTTAGATTTTGTTCAGATTGGTCAGAAAGTGCTGAAAAGTTATGATGGTGATGACAAGACAAATCTGATGGCTGATAGGGTAAACGAGTATGTGACGGATGAGACTGGTGTAGAGAATCAGATGTGATTCTAGCAATAGAGTTGTTAGCATATAATTATTCAGAGTCGTCGCAGGAGCAGTAGTTGGTTGGTGTGTAGACTCGAGGGGGATAGTGCCAAATTAGGTGGAGTTTACAAGCAGGCACAACAGAGTAACACACATGTTGATGGAGATGGTAGCATTGGACTTGAAGACGATGAGCATGCTTATTCGGTCCAAGCCAAGTGATGGAGGAGATAGAGACATCTAGCTTGTAGTGTGGAGTAGGAGAGGTGCACCGATATAATTCGAGATAAGTAATGCAGGTGGAGTACGAGGACAACAAGTGGGAGAAGACTTCTATCGAGTTTAGTTTGGGAGGAGAAGTATGGTTGATTTATTTCTAATGTTAGAGGTGGCGAAGATTTTTTGGTGCGCACGAGAGAGGTGGATGCGTCACGGCGAAGCAGATGATAGCGAGGGCCACAAGACATCCAGTTGAAGTGCAAGTGCTTTGATTTGAAGTGCGAAAGAAATAGAAGACTATAGCATGAGAGACAAAATTTCAAGACAGCGATGATATATCTTCTAGGCAGTTTGGGAATCAAATCCAAGGTGGAGATTGTTAGGATTGTGTCTTTGATTCTCTGTATAACTTTAGATAAGGTTAGAGATCTATCATGATCAGAAGATTGGGTTTTATCATGATTAGAAGTTTGAATCTTATTCTAATTAGGAAGTTAGACTAGAGATATGATACCAAGCAAAGGAGAGAGAGCCAATATTCTTGTAATCTAGGCTTAGTAGAGGGCATAGCCTGATTCGGGAATATTGTGCGAGAGGCGAGAGTTTCGTAGTCTTTATCAGTGCAAAAGATTACATCATTAGGAGAGGGTTTCGCAGTCTTTGTCCGTTCAAAAGATTGTAAGGAGAGAGCTTTGAAGATAATATGAGAGTTGATTATGTATGTGAGGTTGAGAGATTAAGAGACGAGAGTTGAATGATTCTTCTTGTAATTCTTCCTGATACATAATGGATTTCTCGTATTGTTGCTCGTGGATGTAGGTCGAAGTTGGTCGACCGAACCACGTAAATCTTGGTGTTCTTTCTTCTTGGTTGTGGTTATTTTTTATCTTATTAATTATGGGTTAGTTTCCAAGTTGCGCAGATCGTAGTAGATGGGGAGACTGAAACTCCCTAACATATACTATATCCAAGTGATTTTACTTTAAATTAAGAGTTAAAAGTGAGGACTTTTGTGGACTAAAACAATCAAGCAATCGAACCTATGCTGTTTAGAGAGATGCGATGCTTTCGAATGGTATTGTGGCGATAGTTCGCATCTTGAATCTTATGATAAATTGCTGAAGGGCCAGAGGTATCCATCATTTAAACAGGCCCATAAAGGGGTTCACGGTTAGCAGGGCATACTCGCCCAAGGGTAAAATTTGCTTGTCAACCACAGCTCACATTCTCTTCTTATTAATTCCATAATCTATGTAAGGATGCATGTAACGAGATCCTAGATCCTAATATTTTTGCTTTCATAGGAACATCATCTTTAATACATCACAGTAATTTAGGTTATGTTCTTTTTCAGTTGATCGTATTAAAATTGGTTGTCTTTTTTACTTAGTATTGAATTGTCCATCAAACCATGAATTTTGCAATTGCCAATATGTTCAACAAGCAGAAAGCAGGATAATCAAGAAATTAAAAGATAGCAAGCAGAAAATCTCTCATCATACGGTTAGCAAGACATTTAGCAGTGAATTTACATATGCAAAATGAAGTGACCCCGAGATTCCTAACTTGCAATTGCAACTGCAGTTACAATTCGCAACGACAAAAGGAAAAACAACTAAATTTGTAGCAAATTTGATTATCAGGTAATGAAAGTTAGTTTTTTTTTTTTTTTTTTTTTTTTTTAGTTAGTTTTTTTTTTTTTTTTTATTATTTTTTTGCGATAGCAGCTGCAAAATAAACCATTTCTTGCAAAATGAATTGCAGCCAATTACAGTGTACAAAACAATCCCTATATCATGCATATGCAACATTATGGCCACTGAAAGAGCATACACAAAATTCTAGACTAGTAGTTAAGAGAACCACGACACAAATCAATTCGAACCTGAATAAACCAAGATGAAATGTACAGAATCATAAACCCAATGGCCAAGCAAACAAAAGTTTAACCTAATATCATGAGATTTGACAAATAAAATATTATTTAAAATCAATGTATAAGAAGCAATTAACATATCATCCTCTCAATAATTTCCAAGATGAACAAAAAAGCTACGGAGGACAAAAAAACGAACAAGCAGCGAAAAATGAGTGCTCAGCTACAAGAACCAGCAGCAACACCACAACCACAAAAGCAAAACTTGCCTGCAGATTGCTCAAGTATTTACTCATCAACTGAGCTCGCCATTTGCGCCATTTTGAATCCTGATATTTCTTCGCATTGATGAGCACCTCGGCCAAATAATTTCCTTCAGAAGCATACTGTATGTTGTGCCTTTTAAAGAAATCCATTGCCACTTCATTAGTTCCAAATCTATTAAGCACAATCCCCTTTGAGCTTAGCAACTTCACATCCTCCACTGACCTAATGATGCACTCCATGAAATTTGCATAATTTGTGAAGTATTTGCCAACATCAGGGAAGCACTGCTCAAACACAATAATGTTTTTAAAGAGAGATTTAGAATAATCATAGACTTGCAATGGGGGTATCTCGATTCTTCCATCATTAAATGTTACATCCAAGCAGCATTCCGCATTCTCTTTCTTCACAAATTTGATACCAAACCTTATCAAATTTGTTGCACTCGATATCCACTCTGATGTTGTTTTGGCTGATGATTTGTATTTTCTCGGAATCAGAGATGAATGAAAGAGATGCAGAAGATGGTGTATTTGATTAGCAGGAAGTGTTGTGAATGCTTTGGACTTGTTCGGATGGATATCGTGAAAGAGCTTCAGTGCGAGACTAGCAAGGTCCAAATTTTTGTCTCTCGGGGTTTTGATGTAATCAAGAATGGTTTGAATGACAAAAAAAGGCATCTGGTTTTCAAGTTTCAAAAGATCAAAAACTACAAGGTTCCATATCCATGACATCCCTAGCAAAGGATCATCTATATCCTCTTCCCCTTTTCCAATTTCCAATTCTACTCTCCCTGCATCAGTTTCTAATTTAGCCTTCCCCTTACCATCCTCTATCACAACCACAACTTCATCTTCCACCTCCTCAACCTCATCATTCTCCACTTGCTTCAACAGGAGATAGATAATAAAACAACCATCCATCAACATAATGGAAGCAAGTCTTTTAGAATCCACATGGTACAAATTCTCCGAGTAACAACTCCTCACTTCACTATCCAATGCTTTAAGAGCCACAAGACACTCATCCAAGATTTGGCTAGCACGATCATGATTCTTATGGCGAGAAAGGAGATGGCGAACACATCGCCATTTGTGATCTTGCATAGCTTTCATTGTGCCTCTAGGATTAGAGAAGTTATGGTAAGGGCCTATTGAGACAACAAGAGGAGTGTACTTGCTCTGATCATCGACATTGTTCTTTAGTGTTTTTGGGAACTTGAATATTGTGCAGGGTTTCGATGGTTCAGAATTAGGACGCACCTGATTCAAACTTTGCCTAACTGTTGTAATCCATGAGTTGTGATCTATGTCGACTGTGTGGTCCTTGATCATGTAGTGATATCCCGAGTGAGACCTAGGAAGTTTTTCGTCTTTAGTGTTTTGAACGGGAAGGTTGAACTTGGCGGGAGTTGGAGGGGCACAATTGAGAGGAATTGGGTAGGTGTTTGGTTCACTCATGGTGTTGATCCTGAAAGAATGATTGAATGAAGATTCTATTTCTGTTGAGCTTCTTGAGGTATCACCAATTAAATAAACTACACCTACTAAGGTCCAGATGATAAGACAAAGTAGGAACTAGGTCATTTACATTGAAGTAATTCCACTACCTGCTAATGCCCCATCTAATGGTCTTCTTTGTTAATATAAACACAATCATTAACAAAGAAAGAAAAAGGAAATAATGAGGCAAATGATAAGCCTTAAAAAAATGGCCGGCTGATATTTGGCTTGTGCGGTTCATTGCCCCTTAAGTAACTTGGCATTAATATTTAAGAACAAATCACAATCAATCAACGTCTATAGAAGACAACATTTATATGAGAAATGGCACAAATGTTTAGAGCACTGATAGATAGAAGAAAAAAAAATACAAATATGTAACACCAAATAGTTCAAATTTAGCAATGATATGGTGAATTTTTCTAGTCCTTTATATTTCACCTGTCCCGTTCATGCCAAATAGCTTTCTGAGTATTTCTTTAGCAATTAAAATCATGATATACTAAACTAATTGAAGAATTACTTAATAGCCTTTCATCAATTTTTTCACAAGTTTACATATGAAACACGCAGAAAACGCCTTCTGCGTATACCCATCTGATTGAGTTCCTAGATGATGATCCCTAATGGTGGTTGATATATGAAATTAACCAATTGTCCACCTGATTTCAGAGGAGTTTACTATTTAGGGTTTTTTTTGTTGGTTTGTAAAGGAGCCAAGTCATTATATTCATAGGTGCAGCAGCAATCGACATGGAGGTGCTTTTTCTCAAAATGTTTTTGATGTGACAAATATCAACAAATCACAGCATATGCCATATGCTAGCAAAAAATGCAGGTATATAAATCGTCAAATGAACATTAAACTCTATTAAAAGGTTTGAGTGAGTAGAGTTTAAACTCTATTAAAGGCTTGAGTGACTAGATTGAAGACTATGGTAGTCTAAAACTGTCAAACACTTGAAAAGAATTATAATAGATCAGCAAAGGAAGTAATTTGATATAAAAGTATATGAATCCTAGCAATTGAAGATGAGGCAAGAAGACAAAGCTATCAACTGGATATGCCAAGTATTAGGGATTTGCGGTTCTAAATCAGACCTAACCCAACAGTAATGATCACAATTCATCAATTGTGTTTAAGGGAATAATAATGGGGAAGCAAAAAGAAAGGAAAGAACTCAAAAAATGAAAAAAAGAAACTCCCTGCATTAGAGGATGAAGAAAAAAGTAGAAGCAAAAGAAACATGGTCCTAGTCAGCCATTCCATATATGCATGCTGAAATCATGTCCTACATCCAATATTTTTCTCCATAATCTCATTGTAAGCCTCAAGAGCAACATATTCAAGTAAAAGAAACCTCTCTCAAATGCATACATGCAAAAGAACTCGCCATGAAAAAAAAGGAAATGCAAAGACATAACTCCAGAAGCCAAGTCGCCTAGCAATCGAGAATTCATAAGTGTAGATGAGATGAAACAAAACAATGCACCTTGAAACTGTCTGAAGAAAGGCTCAATAACAGGAATTGCAAGTTGAACCTTCTAAGAATCTCCACACATGTCATTGATGAACATAAACACCAAAGCAATATCAACCATGGAAGAAACAGTCCAACCATAGAATTTGTATAAAACCCTTCAGAACATCAAAACCACCATACATCTTCCATAAGATTTTCCAAGATGCTCCAAATAATATAGACATGGTTTAAGACACTCACACTTAATTCTATAAAAACCCTAATTATCATAAGTTGACATATATAATAGTTTCTAACTGAGACAGGCAAAATGTAGCTTGCCTAACAACTATTCAAAGCATTGTCTATTTGGACAACTAATACAAACTTCTACAGTAAAATTAACATGGAAATAGACTGAATTTCACACCTACAAACTGTTGGATGTTGATCAATGTAGGCAATAAAAACTGCCTTAATCCCAAAAATTGAGAAGTTCGTCTGCAGGACTTCGCCTGCGTCTAAAGCTCGCAAGAACAAAGCTCATTCTACTTGTTCGCCTGCATCAAAAAGGCAAAGTCAAGCACGCTTGAATGCTTGACCCCGCAGGCGAAACGAAGTTCGCCTGCGCAGTAGACTTCGCCCCGAAAGGATTTAAACTCGCCTGAAAGTTTGACTCGCCTGCACGAGTTATGCTCGCCTAAACGCTCTGTTCATCAGCTAGCAAATTAGCTAAACTTGCCTAAATGCTTCTCTCGCCTGCACGAGTCCTGCAGAAGGTCCACCCGCACGAACCAAGCTCGCCTACAGGGTTTAAGCTCGCCTAAACGCTTAAGGGGTTCGCCTGACAACCTCGCTTGTTCTCCTAACTCGCCTGAGCATTCAACCCGCACGTTAGCTCGCCTAGCTCGCCTGCTAGCTCGTCTGAGCGGTTTTTAACCGATTGCTTGATTTGTGGGAGTGGTTACGCCCACTTCCCACGATTTGAGGGGTTGGTTACCACCATCCTTCTCTATAAATAACCTCGGACGGCTACAGAGAGGGGATCCTAGATTTGTATCTCTTGACTATCGGATTTTAGCTCTTGAGATCTTGGATTTGGCTCTAATTCTCGGCTCTTTGCAAATTCTTACATTTTAGCCTTTCGAGATAGAAATCTCTTGGGTAATTGGTTCTTTTGGGTGATAAAAGAACCGATCTTTGAGCATTCGGTCTTAATTCAAGCTCGGGTATTCGAACTCAATCCATAGAACTACTACCACGCGCTGAAGTTTATCCGCAATTTCGATCGAATCGTCCAAGGGAAGCAAGCTAGACGTAAGCATTCGAGGGAGACATCCTATCGCTATCGAAGAACCCACGTTAAACAAGAAAGAATCAAATTAATTCCTTTCGCTTCTGTGTAATTTGATTCTTTATTTGTAACACACATTCAATTAATACAAATCGTTTTAGAACCAATTTTACATCAAACAATCACACAATCAACTTGGTTTGATTAATAACAAATGTTCATATGTATTTGATAATGTTTCGAGATGAAATATACAGGTCATACAAAGTGATGCAAGACAACAAGTTAACCACAGTTAATCCTAAAAACATATCATAGGCTAAAATTAACTTTGAGCATATGGGAGTGACTGTCTATCTATTATGAACCTATAGAAACAAATGAAATTTGATTTGGAGGTATATAGCTCAAGATATTAGTGTTTTTGTGAGACAGTGTCAAAACAATCAGTACTACCGGACGTCTAACAACCCAAAGCAAATGGCTAAAAACACGCACAGGTCATAACTTTTAACTCGATTAACAAAATCTCTATTATAATATATATTTTAAAAAACTCTCCACATACTCTACAAGATGAAACTAATATTCTCAGGTTTATTTGAACAACTGTCTGAAAGCTTCGAACAAAAGTCTGACATCTATCAGACAGAAAAATGGTTCTTAGAAAACATTGTCGTGGATTTTTTTAGTTTTCTGAATGTAATCTGAGTTGTTCACTAAGAGGCCTATATAACCTATTCTAGGGTTGTTTTTCTACAGATCTTGAGCAAGAAGAGCTTCATTGACAGAAAGAAAAGGAGAGGATTCCTTTAGGATCCGAAGGAGATTTCCACTACTATTACCGTCAATTGGCATCATGGATTTTGTGCACATCCTTGGAGTTGTTCGCAACATCACATCGGATCCTTCGTGGAGTGCATCCAGCCCTAGAATCATCATCATCATTCTTCCATATCTTCACTAGAAATCATTTGGAGAACGATCTTAATCAAAAAGGACTACAATATCTTTCTAATTGTGTTCAAACGATATTCTTTTTTGTAAACACTTTTTCTACAATCATGTGATTAGTCGCTTTTGTACAACATACTCAAGCTGGTGTTAATTGAGAAATTGGTGATACTAGCTAAGGCTGGGGCTACACTTGTATGGTAGGATCTTTGGCAGAGACGACTAGATTAGGGGGAATCTAGGGGACAGTCTTGCAATTGTTTACTAGATTGAGTTGTGGTCCAAAAATTCCTTCATACTAGAGCGGAAGCCCCTTTTGACCAGGAATAGTGGATGTAGAATTTATCCTAACCGTGATAAAAACCTTGTATCTTTGTGGTTGTGACTGCTCGCCCTTTATTTATTTCCGCTACATAATTCTTCGATAGGTTTTAATTCTCAAAAAAAGTGTGCAACCCTATTCAACCCTCCCTTCTAAACTTGCATATAGATCCTAACAAAACATCATGAAGATAAAAATAATGTAACATTTATTTATCTATCGGAGAACACCAAATTCTCTGAAGCCTCTAATGTCATCAGATTTGGCCATCAGATACATAAACAACATTTCAAGGAGGTCATAAGGGTCATCAACTTCTCATCCACTGTAATACTTGAGATCCTTAAACTTTATATAGAGAGCGAAAGTAAGAAAATGCTGCAAAGAAAGACTGCTCAATTACAAGCAAGAGTAGCAACACGGTAAACAGGATTGTGACACCTGTCCAATAGTTGCTGAAATAGACACGTGCTAGTCCTGCCCGCCACCTTCTCCACTTTGATTCATGGTCTTTCTTAACATTGGTAAAGATATCTGCTAGATAATTTCCATCAGAAGCATAGTGCAAGTGATTTTTGCGGCAATTGAAGAGATTCGCCAGTACCTCATCAGTCCCAACCCTGTTCACCAAAATCTCTTTCGAGTCAAGCAACTTTGCATCCTCTTCAGCGGCAACAATGCACTGCATGAATGCTGCATAGTTCATAATATACTTCCCCACGTCAGGGAAACTCTGCTCATACACAATAAGGTTCTGGAAAAGGGAATTTGAGTAGTCATAGACTTGCAGTGTCGGAATTTGCAATACTCCATCGTTGTATGTTATATCCAAGAAGCTCTCAGATGTCTCTTTCTTCACAAGCTTGATGCCAGTCCTTTTGAGCTCCATAGCACTTGGAATCCACTTCCGTGAAATTGGTGCAATAGATTTGTATTTGTAAGGTACAAGAGATGTATGAAACAGATGCAGTAGGTGATGGATTTGACTTGCTGGCAATTTAGTGAATGATTTGGATGCATAAGGATGAATACCACGAAAAAGATGAAGTGCAAGATCTACAAGGACAAGATTTTTATCTCTCGGAGTCCTTATGATGTCAAATATGGTTTGAATGATAAAGAAAGGAATTTGGTTTTCGACTTTCAGTAGATCGAATATCACAAGCTTCCATAGCCATAGCATCCCAATTAAAGGACCTCCAATCTTCTCTTCTTCCTTCCCCATCTCCAATTCAACCTCCATCACCTTCTCCTTTCCCTTCACTTCCTCTTTGTTACTCTCTTCCTCTACTTCACTATCAAAACTCTCATTCTCCACTTGCATTAATAAGAGACGGATGATGAAGCACCCATCCATCAACATGACAGAAGCAAGCTTTGGTGGGTCGAAACTGTTTAACTCTCCTGCATAGCAATTTCGCACATCACCATCCAATGCCTTAAGTGCCATCAAGCACTGGTCCAAGAGCTGGCTTGCACTCTCTTGACTTTTATGGCGTGAAAGTAGGTATCTCACACAACGCCACTTATGCTCATGCATAGCACGCCCTGTGCCGCTTTGTTCAGGAAAGTAGTTATATGGGCCAATAGTTGCAACAGTTGGATAGAATGAATTAACAGCACCACCACCATGTTTGATGCTCTCTGGGACTCGAAAAATGGTGCACGGTTGATCATGATGGACCTTTGGGCGCGCTTCATTCACCTTTTCCCGCACGGTATTGATCCATTCATTTTCGTCAATGTCCACTTTAAATTCAGTGACGAAACCTTCTTCTGTGAATTTTTTTGATATATACTTATATTTAGGGAGTGCAGGTTGTGCATAGTGGAGAGGGATCGGGTAAAGGCTTGGTTCAGCCATAATTTGGTATCTATGACTACAATTCTACCGATAACACTTGGTTGATCACTTAAGAGCATCTCCTATTTAACAAACTAGTTCATGAAAAGACTAATAACAAGACAAAGTACAGCTTTAAGATTCTCGGTATTGTTTACATCAAAGTAACATCACAACCTGCTACTGGTGTTTCACACTATAGCTTGTCTTTGATAAATGAGACAAACAGATGGTTCTATTCTGATACTATACATATCCAATTAGAGTGAAGTACGTTTAGCAAAATTATATAAAAAAAACAATGATGACTGTGTTATTTTTGGGATTGTACTTGGTCAATAAATAACAATCAGATCATCAGCCGGCCAAAATTTGTCACATTTGTCTGGCCTTTTACTAACATCAAAACCACTTATCCTTGCTAACAGAAATCATCAGAACCAGGCACCCAAAAGATAACAGTCACAACAATCCACACAAATAAATCATTCCAACTGTATGTTACGAGAATTTTTTGCACCTCAACGTACGTTTTCATTCGCCAAATAATTCTCAAAAGAGTTAGTGAACCATCAGGTTGTTAAGCTGATTCATGTGATACTTTAATTAGTTATAAATGGAAAACTTGCAATCCACAAGGTGCATGGATAAAGGGTGTGCTGCCTCCTTCGAACTGATAACATAAAAATAACGATACTTAAGAATTGGTTGCACTAGAGTCGACAAATTATAAATAAGGATTCTCAAGAACACTGGAGGCTACATTAGATTAACACTGAGCGCAATATTAGGACTATGTCTAGAGGGAAAATATTATATAGAAGGTTCAATAAAAGTGGGGTTCCATTAAGGACCTCAATTATAAGCAATTGCCTACTTGGAAAAAGATTGTATAACAATTATAGAAGGTTCATTATGAAGGTCAGATTGGGCAAAAATTGTGCCTGTGTGAGGAGAAATCTATAGATTGGTTATACCCACCTTTTGCAATATCGAAATCAACAAAATTTTAAGCTCAATGCGATCCATAATTTTCTAAAAATATTGAAATTGACAAAATACCTGGCTTCTACAACTAGAATCCTGTTTCTGACAAGATAAAACCTGAGAAAATTATAGGAATCAGGCGAAAAAATTAGCTACAAATGGAGTTAAACAAAGAACAAATCTTTAGAATTAGACATATCCACCTTCTGCAAATTTCCGCAGCAAGGGACCACATTTTACCCAAAAATCTTTTTCTAGTCCTCATCGCTAAAGAAAATGACGACGAAGAACATCGCCGCTTGAGTTGTTGACTCAATCTATGTGATAACGTCATTGAATCTGTTTCAAAGATTGAACTTTTAATAGCAAGATCAAGAAATCGAGCCACAATCAAATCGCCTCTAGTTTGCCAAAGAGAAATGTGATCATTAATTGGGCGCCAGATAAATGAACAGTTAATTTCATGTGGAATAGTTTCTATTTAAAGTAGAATTCTAAATAATTTTAATTTATCTCTTTGATGTCGGAATACCAATTTAAACCCTAATTTAACGTAAAAGACCTTTTTAGAAATTATAAAAAGAGAATGTACCAGAAGAATGGAGAGCGGAGCGTCCCTTGGTGTGGGAGAGTTTGAGTGAGAGCTCCACAGTGGGAGAGGAGGCGAGAGAGCGAGAGATTGGGCTTTTGCAACTTTTGGAGAGCAATTGGGCTTGCAACTTTTAACATATATAAAAGCCCGTCATAATTTCCGAGTAACAGCGTCTAGCCGAATTCTTTTCATTTGTAGACACATTGGGCTTGCAACTTGAGATCTAGATTTTGGCACTGAAGCCCATGTTGTCCCTATTTCGCCATAAATGCACCATTCCCCTTATAAAGTTAAAGAAAAATAATTTATAAGGACCAAAAATATAGGACATGTGTGTCCCTATTGCATAATGAGCATGTCATGCCAGCTCATTATGCAAATAGGAAGGGGACATCTCACATGTCGGGACATCTCACATGTCCATTCCAATGATCTCATATTTTGGGTCCCTGTAGGCTGTAGCCGCGCTCAAAGTTAAAACATGAAAAATATTAATTGTACTACAAGACTAATACTACTCTTAGAAGTTAGAATTCATAGAAACTCATAATTTCTATTTAAAATTTACAAAAAAAAAAAAGATTTTATTTTTCATAGTAGTACAAGTATAATATCACTCTAATGTACAATTATCACTACTCTTTTCAATACATTGCTAATGATGATTAATTATGATGGAGATCGTAAAGGGTGACAGTACACAATAAATTTATGGTCCTTTTCCTTCCCCTTCTTTCCGTTGTTATTTTAAATTTTAACAAATATCAAAAGTTATGGATTGTTTTTTTTTCCCCCGTAAGAAACCATCATAACCTTTTCCTACTGTAACGATCCCATTTTTATGTTGCCATTTCCGACAAACTACATTGATTTCTTAATATAATTATGAATTCTTGTAGTTATTTGAATAAAATTGAACAGTGATATTTTTTTCCCGTTAACTTCAAATTTTTTAAGACCATTCCGCGAACCTTACTTATAATTGGCTCGCAAACCTTATTTATAATTTGCTCGCTAACAACTTGGTTCTTAAGAACTAGACATTTTCTTAAATGAGCTTCGCATTTTTCCTCAAAATAAAAAACAACAATCACGGATCTAAAATCATAGAACAGGAGCGTTGCTAGAATATCAGATGAACAAGGCCTCTGTGAGGAGCAGAGCTACAACTGTTTAACACCGGTATAACAATTAGGGCCTTCGCACCGAAAGAATTTAGTTCAAATTAAATGTTTCTCAGAACCAATTTGGTATAATCCTTATTTTGAAAGTACAGCAGAAAAACATGCAGGCTACAAATTTATTCATCCTACAAATTTTGAAGCCCTGATAGCGAAGTTTGCCATTACTGAACACCACCAAAGCAACCCGCAACAATCATTGATACAACAAACAGTAGGCCGTCAAGGCTAAATCCTAATGTCAAGTAAAGAAAAAGGAAAAAAGAAAAGAACAGAAACACAACCGAGTCATCAGAAAAGAACTGGTACAGAGTTGGCATTATCGACCAAGGTGCACACTGCAATTGGTTAGCTTAAATCTCTTCCTCTTTTCATCATCAGATGGCTGCAAGTGAAAGAAAAGGCAAGTCAGTTTAGAGGGGAAAGAAGAACATTAACATTTTATTGAGAACAAACGAGCATTAATCAGTTCACCTGTTGCATAAGGAACTGGGGCACCTGAACCCTCTTAGAACCATCTGCTAGGCGCTTGGAAGGGAAATGGTTCCCTACGGCAGAATAGTCACTGAGAACCTAAAAGAGTTCCACCATCAATCAGAGAATTATTAGTTAATGCTAAACATGCACATTTTTATGTATTTCTTTAAAACTGGAAGAAACATTGTCAAAAAAAAAAACTTGTGGACATCGGGTCATCGACCAAATTAAACTGGAGACCACGCATGACATTTGCATGATAATCCCATAATCCTTAGCCAAGCATGGAAGAATGCAAGCGGAAAGGAAATTAACCTAACTATTTGAACAGGAACTGCATTGTAGTCTTTTGAGTGTAATAACAATATATTATAGGTTAGAGGACAGGGGTTACAAAAAGTAGCATTTCTCAAACAAGTTGGTATCAATAAAATGTATACACAGTGAAGCTAAGAACTGAACCTGTGGTGAAGCAACAATTTGGGTATTTAAATGAAACCCAGGACAGTTATCTTTTAGACTGATATATGAATTCAAGACCATGAACCAATGCTGCATGCTATCAAAACCTTATAATTATTAAATATACATGGGCCAGGCACGATTCTGTAAATAGACATACCACACAGGACTGAACCTATGGTGAAGCAACAATTTGGGTATATAAATGAAAACCAAAGACGGTTATCTTTTAGTTTGATGTATGAATTCAAGACTATGAACCAATGCTGCATGTTATGAAAAGCTTATAATTATTAAATACATGGGTCAGGCACAATTCTGTAAATAGACATACCACACAGTACTGTAAAGGAGTCTTGTGCTCAAAACATTTAAGTAGTTTTACATCTACATTTTTGTGCAGAAAACAATGTAATAAAATTTATAGATAGGACAATACCTTGTTATGAATTTCTCCAATGAGCATATCTTGACAGCCAGAGGCATGAATATTTTTCAAGTTAGGACACTCGATCATCAATGTTTCTGCAAAAAGGTCGGAAAACTTGTTAACCACATCATAACTTTGATTTTCTACGAGCTGTTCTAAACATCAAGAGTGACCTACTAAATTACCTGGATTCAAATTTGTACATAAATTTAAGTTAAGATCGTTAAGCTGTGGGCAGTTCAGGTATAAGGCCTGCAACATTTATCAAGAGATCAGAAAACATTCCAGAAGACAAAACGTATAAATGTTTTCTATGCATTTATCTTACATCTAAACCTGAACAACCCCACAAACTGAGTTTCTTCAAACGTCCATGTTTGATAATTAGTTTCTGATAAATTGGCAGTGGCTTTGCACTTTGTAATTTCTGACACTTTTTAGTTTCTCCACTGATCAATTCATTATCTTCAGTACTTCCTCTTTGAAAACTAAGATCAGAAATGCTCATCCCACAATCAAACAGCTGAAGAAATGGCAATTGGGCTGCAGCAAACTGGATACCACCTGAAATAGATTCAGTTATATGATAAGAAACCTAAGATGAAGTGTAAACATGAGCAAGGAACACGGAAGCACCAAATGCATTTAAAGAGAGAATTACTTGAGGTAATATTAGGACAAAGAGCTAAGAAAAGTCTAGAAAGAGTCTGAGGAAACACGTTGCATATCATTCCGATGCCACTATCACTTATGCTTGACCTGAAATAATAACAAAAAATAACATAAGAACATAAACCATCTAGGATGAGGCATTCATTCTTAAGAGCAAGAAGATGCATACCCGCTTAAATCAAGCAACTCTAAACTTGCATAACATGAAACTATAGCAGCCACAGATGCATCAGTTATTTTTGAACCAAGAACCAGTGACAGCATTCGCAGACTCCTAAATGATTAAGGAGAAATCATTATTTAGAAACTCAACCAAACGACAAAGCATATAATTGCATTCAGGTTGAATTGGTTTGTCGAATATGAATTGACGCTTATTTGTGATTATAACCATCCCAGATGACTATTCAACCTAGGAAATAGGAATTAAAATAACACAAAAGCAAATCATAAATTTCTGATGTAACTACCTCAAGTTTGCTCCGACAAGAGCAAGAACAGCATCATTGCAAAGTTGGATTGACGAAACATGAATGTTTCTTAATCGAGAACATGTCCTCCCAAGACTATCCATCATTGCAACAAGATCTGTAGAGTCATTCTCTTGCCGAGTAAAATCAAGAGAAATCTCTTTAAGATTAGGACAACTGATGACCTAGGAAGAAAATGAGGAAGCAATTAAGGAACATACACGAAGTAATAAAATTCTGACTGCAATTGAGAGAAAAACAATTGCCAAAGATGCTCACTGTCTTAGAAATACAAGAAAGATCGGAAAGCCATAGAGTTGACAAGCTTGATGAACAGATATTAAGAGAACCTAGGTTGCTGCAACCATCAATTTTAAGGACTGAAAGGCTCCGTTTCTCAGAAATAAAACGAGCCAATTCATCCCTACAATAGAAATATAGCGCACGTGAATTAAGTGTAAAAGTCTATAATATTTGAGATATGCTTACTAATAATTGTTAAACATTTGAGAAGACACCAGTTTACAAACATAATAGGACTATGAACAAAAGAATATTCATGAAATCATTACACTTGTTACACATGTCAGTAGAAAGCAATCAAAGATTGAACAGAAATATGAATCAGACAACCTTGCACAGAATAAGTTTTTACGAACATACCCAGTGATTCGATTGGCAGCAGTGCCTGTGATTTTCATCTCAAATGCTTCTAAATTAGGGCACGAGAATGCGACACAAGCTAAAACAGTAGCATCTGCATCACTGTACAGTATCACAAGAAGAAAATTTATCAGAAAACTTTTGCCATTTATTTGTTTTCATCTACTGTATTTAGGTAAGAAAAAAGACAGCAACTTTGCCCAGAATAATCAGATAGCAGTTGCATTTGCAAGCGATGAATTAAACCATTTTTTCACTATTATCAGTTCTATCTGATCTATCTTGGTCAGACTTTATATGCATTATAATGATAATTTTTGTCAATAAATTATATAAGTAAATTAAAGAGAAATTTTGCGGGGGGAACTATAATCAATGCCATTGCAGGATCTGGCTCTAGAAATATTTGAAAATACAATTAAACAAGCAGATCAAATAGATCATCAAAAGGCACATCAAAAAGCCTTTTTGATCTCAAGATCCATCATTTCCACTGTCATCCAAATCTCAAAACCCCAGATCCATGGTTAACCACTGGGATTCAAAGGAGATCTAGAAAATTCAGCTAAATTCCATCAAAACCATTTTTAAGAAAACAAAAAAAAAGTAGAAAATGAGCAAGATCGCTGTATTCTGATCTCCTCATGATCTATATTTTATTTTGATTAAGTCATTTAAAGTCATTTCTTTTAATCAGTCCACAACCTTTCCATCGTTAGGGTTAATCTCACGAGCCCAGCACACTTGTGGAGAACAGATCCAACAAATCCAATCTGCGATTTAGGGGAGACTTTAAGCTTAACCTCCTCCGCGGAGATCCACACCCTCTTAATAACATCCCTCCACCCTTTACACACCGCCGCCGCCCCCATCAGCTCCTTGGGCGACAATCGCCTGAGGATCTCCGCGAGGCACGATACCGGGAGGGCCCCACCGGTCACAGGCACCTGCTCCGGCACCCGCCGACCACCGCACCCAGACCCCAGCGGGGCCCACCCAAGCGCCGCGGCAGCTACAACTGCGGCCGCTGCGGCCTCCCCAAAAAGGGCCACGTGTGCACCGTCGCCGGCCCCGCCCCCACCTCCTCCTCATCCGTGGACCCCACCACACCCCTCCCCCTCCAAGATCCGACCTCCGCCTCCGCCGAGCCCTCTCC